TGGGCAGTCTCAGCATCACCACATATGGGGCAGGCAGAGGCTTCTCTGGGGCCACTTCTGGGCACAGCTCTCTTGCTGAATGCACTTTGCATGTGAAGGCCATGCATTTTGGGAGGCCATAGCCATGTGCATCCTATCCTCAGCCTCCTCCTGTTATGGTCACCAGAGGCACCTATTAAGGGCAATGTGGCACCAGAGCTCACAACAACAGCCAAGTCAGAGTTCTGGTTCCACAGAGTGGGGAAAGGCTGACAGATACTGGGGAACTGGCTTCATGTGCAGTTGTCACTGGAAGGGGGCTGGCCATGGGCCCTGCATGCCACTCTCTCTAAGTTGCATGCTGACCCCCATGCCAGAGGAGCTGTTGCCAACACCTGCAGAATCCCAGCAGCTCTGAGGGCCCACCCTGGGCTCCCACATCCCTCAGACAAGTGTCAAAGGTGGGGCTAAGTTGGGGATATAGCTCAGTGGTAGGGTACTTGCCTAGCATGCTTGAGTCTTGAGGCCTGGGTTCAATCCCCAGCACTGTCCTCCTCTGCCACACACACACCAAAAAAGTGGGACTCCTTGATTTTGTGAAAAGTTGAATCACTACATCTGGACATTAAGATAAGAATCTCCTCTTCCAAGCTGAGGTTTTGAGTCTTCTTCAGGAACTAAGATAAATAATGACTTTGTCTGGGATGCAGATCCACCCCAGCTGTGGAACTCTGCCTCTGTTTGGGGCTGAGCATGCCCGCGCTGCCACCTCCTGGTGGATATGGGAATGGCCTCTCAAGGCCCCCCACCTGGAGGCCAGTCACAGCTATCTCCCTCCCACTCTGACAGGTGCAGGTACAGCGACCTTCCTCACACACAGGAACGATCCACCTGCTGCCAGCAGCACATGTGGACTTATTGGGGAGCAGGGTTTTTGTGGATGATCCAGCTAAGATGAGGTCACTAGGACGGGCCCTGATCTAGCAGGAGTGGTGCACGTGAAGAAGGGTCACCTGGGAGAAGATGGCCGTGAAAACAGGACAGAGGCCGGGAGGTGGCCACAAGCCAGGGAGCACGGAGGATCACCAGCAATGCCAGAGGCTGGAAGAGCAAGGAAAGCGCCTCCCGGGGGCTTCAGAGGGAGAGCCGCCCTGCCCACACCTCAACAGGGGACTTGCCGTCTCAGGAGCTAGGAGAGAGTAAATTTCTGCAGTCTTAAACAAGTGGCTTGTGGCTTTGACGGTGGCTATTGCACATCGTGGAATGCTACTTGTTTATGGTCTGCATGCATTTTTCAAGTTGATGCATGTCCAGGTGACGCCCCATGGCCACAGAAGGCTAGGCACCCCCATCGCCCTGACTGCTCCTGCCGGCAGCGGGCCTCTGCATTGTCCTGGGCTCAGGCTGCCCACAGATCTGTATCCCACTCCCTGGGGCACCAGCCCCACCTCCAGACCTAGATATCTGCCACCACCCAGAACTATCCTCTTGCAGAACCAGTTCCAGACCACCGTGTCCTGGCCACCAGGCCATCAGGGCTGTCCTGCCTCCCAGAGCTCAGCGCCCTCCAGGCTCGCTCTTCGTCCCTCAGTGCTCTCCCTTGCCCTCTCCCTGACCTCGAGCTCCCCCAGGGCAATACTTCTCTGAGGGGGTCTCCCATTCATCCTGCTGCCCAACCCAGGCCATTTCCCAGGGCCGTGTCCCAAGGAAGCCTTTCGGGGAGAGGCAGTGTCTCCCTCCCTCGCTCACTGGCTCTGGGATCCTGTCTGGAGAACATGGTGTGGGCACACTGGTGCACGGTGGGGACCCAGGCTTGGGGACACTCGCCTGGCTCTCCCTGGAGTCATCTTTCCCCTCTGGCCTGAGCACCTGGTGTCTGCTGCCAGTGCCTGTGCACTATTCTAGGTAGCCTGCTCACCTGCAGGTCCCCAGTGGAGGGGACTGCCCTCCTGCCCTACGCCAGTCCTGACCCCAGGACCTCCCGTTCTCCATCTCCGAGCTGTCATTGTCATTCCACAGATGCTGCCCAGCTCTCTGAGCTGGCTGCACAGGGCACTGGACGTGCTGAGTGGAGCCAGGGGGCCTTCCATGCACACTGCTGACCCAGGCCTCACAGCAGCAATGGCACCCACCCAGGCTTTGCCTACCTTGCCTTCTGGGTGAGGACAGGGAATCAGGAAGGGTAAGTAACAGGTTCGAGGGTAGCATGGGTGTGGAATGAGGTGGCATTCAGACCACAGGCTCTGCCAGGCTCCACTGCATCCCTCCCACAGTGGCTCCACCAGGGACTGGCTGCCCCTCTTTCTACTGCTTGGTCTCCATCCAAACATCTCCCAAGTCCCCCAGAGCACCCATGGTCACTGCTGTTCACTTTTTTAAAAAATTCTAATTTGTTATATCTGACAGCAGAATGCATCACAACTCATATTACACACATAGAGCACAATTTTTCATGTCTCTGGTTGTATACAAAGTTTATTCACACCATTCGTGTCTTCATACATGTACTTAGTTAGGGTAATGATGTCCATCTCGTCCCACTGTCTTTCCTACCCCCAGGCCCCCTCCCACCTCTCTGCCCTAATCCTCCCATGCCCCCCAACCCCAGTACGAACCAGCCTCCTCATATCAGGGACAACACTCTGCCTTGGTGTTTGGGGATTGGCTAATGTGTTCACTGTCACCCTCCCTCCTTCAGTGCTCCTCTTAGGAGCCCCAGCTGCCATTCTAACCAGGACCATAATCAGTCCTGCTGTCCAAGGAGGGGACTGTCCCTCCTGCTCACCATGTTTGATGGTGGCTCTGGAAGTTGGTGGCACGTGGGTCAGGTGAGGCAGGAACACCTTCCCTGCCACCCTTCCGGGGAGCCACAGAGACAAGTGATGGGGGCTCTGCTGCTGCTCAGGCTCGGGTTCTCACAGGCCCAGGGGGAAATCCTAGCTTAGTCCTTTGTTTATAGGACAGTGACAACCTCTGGGACTAGTGTTCTTGGTAATGTGCCCCCAACCCCATACACAGGTGGAGAGAGCAGAAGCAGTTTTGCAATCTCCCCAGATGCTTTGAGGTTAGTGGACCACCGCTGCTGAGCCAGGCCAGGGCTCAACAGGCCACCGGAAACATCCTAGGATATCCCACTTGACACAGAAACCAAGCACAGAGAGCTCATGTGGCCAAGTCCATGTGGACAGAAGCCAGGGAGCTAGGATTCAAACCCAGAAGCTCTGGCTCCAAGTTCCCCTGCCAGCTGCCATCGAGGGCTAGCTCTGCACCACCATCTCTAGGCTGAAAGGGACACCGCTCTTCCAGCCCAAAGGCTCAGGCTGCTCCCCAACAAGGGCTGGGCAGGGGCTCCACTGCCAGAGAAGAGGGGCTTGCTCCTCCAAAGGGCAGGGCCCACAGCAGGGGTGGGGGTATGACCTGCCCTGGTCCACTGAAGGTGTAGCAGCTAGCTGAACTTCAGCCCCAACTCCACAGGCCCATGGTGCTAGCAACACGCCATCATATATTTGCACACTCATTTTGCCCACTTCAAAATCTTGAGTTTTTCAGGAAGCAAAGTATTCTGGTGTCTCCTGCTTCTATCAATGCTGACCTCTTGTGAGCAGCTCTTAAGGAACTACTGTGTGGTCCCCTGTGAATCCCTGCTCTGGGAGATCTTGGGGATGATGGTCTCACCAGCCCTTGCATTTTACACAAGCCAGGAGGGTCGCTGCTGGTCGGCACAGTTGTGCTGGTTGTGCAACCTCAGACAGTTCCAGAAACTCTCCAGACCTAGACCTGTTTACAGGTCTGCAGCAAGCACAATAGCATTTACATCCTGCGCTCTCATGAAAGGTAAAGAACTCTGAAAGCGGTCATGAAGACCCAGAGAAGAGGGGCTAGCTCCAGAGACTCCCAACATGGCAGCACACACAGCACGATGACCCAGGGCACAGCGAGTGACCTACATAGCCAAGAACATGAACAAAGCAAGTCCTGGTCAATGGCGGAACATCTCCCGGGGAGGTGAGCACACGGAGTTGACAAGAGTCTCATGTGTGTGTGTGGCGGGGGGCAACAGGGACATGACAGGGCAGTGGTCAGAGGGACCAGCGGAATGTACTGAGCCTGTGAAGATAGTGCCAAGGAGGGTGGCACTGGGATGGGCTGAGTCTCCCGAAGGGATAGCAGAATCCAGGGCAGTGTGCAGCTCCTGTGCATATCGCTGGGCTGGGGGCGGACAGACAACCGTATAGTGACCCTCGGGACAAGAGCAGGTCAAAAGAATGCCCATCCTGACCCTTGGTGGTGTGACACTGGCAGGTGGCTGATCCTGTGCCTCAAGTATCCTCTTCTGCCTGCTTCCTAAGGTCCCTATGAGGACGCGAAGGATGCCTGAATTCAGCACCGCGCTGGGCCCCCCTGTTCCTGGGGAGCTCCAGTTTCTGGCCCAGGCAGAGCTCTGCAGGGGATCTGCGGTCCCGCCCCGAGGACCGCTGGATCCAGGCAGACCCTTCACCACCGCGCAGCCTTCCGCCAGGTGCGGACTCCTGACGTGCACACACCTAACGTTCACAGGCCCCTGGCTACGCACACGCCCGACGTACTCACACCGCCGAAGCGCACAGGCGCGTGCGTACAGCAGGCACTCGCGCGCAGGAGGAAGGGGCGTTACTCAAATGGGCGAGTGCGCACACCCCGCTCGTGGAGCACCAGCACTGGGAGGTCCGGTTCCGAGAGTTCCTGGCTCCTCCTTCCTGCGGCCCTCCCCTTCCTCCTCCCCCGACGCCCGCGTCTCCCTGGCAACACTCTTGGTGTGGTCCGTTTTCAGTTCCGTAAACAGGAAGTGGGTCTGCGAGCCACAGCTGCTTCCGGTGCAGCCAGGGGTGGGAGGGAATGTGAACAGCGGAGGGCCGGAGCCAATCGCGGAGGACGGCTGGGAAAGAGCCAATCCCGAGGGGGAGGCGGGCGCTTTAGGGGCGGAGACTTGGGCGGGTCCGGCGGCTCTCAGCCAATCGCGACTAAAGGGCGGGGCAGCGCTGACGGCTGCGGGCGGTGGCCCTAAGGCGGCGGCTTCGGGGTAGGGTCCCGGCCCGGAGTGGCGATGCTGCAGCTGCGGGACTCGGTGGACTCCGCGGGCACGAGCCCCACGGCCCTGCTGGCGGCCGGCGAGGACGTGGGGCCGGGCAGCGCGGGCGGGGCCCGGGCAGGGGTGGGCACGCCACTGCGCCAGACGCTGTGGCCGCTCAGCGTCCACGACCCCACGCGCCGCGCCCGCGTCAAGGAGTACTTCGTGTTCCGGGTGAGGGCCTGGCCGGGCCGGGCCGCGGGAGGGCAGGGGAGGATGGTTGGGCACGGGGAGGGCAGTGGGAGGACAGGGGAGGAGGGTCGGGCACGGGGAGGGCAGCGGGAGGGCTGGGGAGGAGGGTCGGGCACGGACGGGGAGGGCAAGGGAGGAACCTGGGACCGCGGGAGGGTCTGGAAGGCTGGGGAGGAGGACCAGGCCCTGGGAAGCAGGGGAGACCTGGCAGGACGGAGCAGAGGGACAGGAGGAGAGGAGAGCGCCCGCCCAGATTGACCTCTGCCCCGGCCGCGTCCAGCCCGGCACCATCGAGCAGGCCGTGGAAGAGATCCGCGCCGTTGTCCGGCCCGTGGAGGACGGCGAGATCCAGGGGGTGTGGCTGCTGACCGAGTAAGCGAGCCTCCGGTGTTGGGGGGGAGCTTCCCGTGACCAGGCCCTGCGAATCACTGGAACACACCCCTGAGAAGACCAGGGCTGTGTTTGCTCAAGAGGGTGGGAACAGGTGACTTGTCTTCGCCTCTAGGGTGGACCACTGGAACAACGAAAAAGAGCGTCTGGTGTTGGTCACTGACCAGTCGTTGCTCATCTGTAAGTACGACTTCATCAGCCTTCAGTGCCAGCAGGTGGTCAGGGTGGCACTCAGTGCAGTGGACACCATCTCCCACGGAGAGTTCCAGTTTCCCCCCAAATCTCTCAACAAGTGAGTGCATTCAAAGAAGCCCTTATCTTGCTGTTGGGACCATTGTGACCTTAGAACTCAGCTCTTTTAAACCCCTAGGTGGTAGTCCTGTGTCTGCTGTTCTGTGTAAGCTAATGATCTCAGCCTGGAGGATGGATAGAAAGATCCTTAAAATAGAAGCAAGTGACTTTCTGGGAGTCCAGTGCTTTCGAGAGGGATTTTGGCATGAAAGACAGCTTTTAGGCTTGCAGTGGAAGTGGTTTAACTGGGTTTCAGATACATCCCAGCAGAGCCACTGTCAAAAGAGAACTGGATGTTCCTCAGGGCATTTTATCTCCATCCAAGGAAAGATTACATGTTCAAGCCCAGTGATTTTGTTGGTTGATTTTTTTAAGAGTGCCAATTTAATTTATAGATATTACTAAGGGTGGATATATTTGCAAATACCTGGGGGTAGCCAAGCACAGAGGCCCACACCTATTATCCCAGCCACTTTGGAGGCTGAGACAGGAGGATTGTGAGTTTGAGGACAGCTTAGGCAACTTAGTGAGACCCTATCTCAAAGTAAAAAGTTAAAAACAAAAAAGGGGCCAGGGATGTAGGTCAGTGGTAGACCACCCCTGGGTTTAGTCCCCAATACCACCAAAAAAGAAAAAGAAGAGAGGAAAAAAAATACCTATTGCTCAACTTTCAAGAACTGATCATCTTGGGGCAGGGGTGCTGGCTCAGCGGTAGAGCACTCGCCTAGCATGTGTGAGACCCTGAGTTCAATCCTCAGCACCACATAAAAATAAATAAATAAAATAAAGATATTGTGTCAACTACAACTAAAAAATATTTTTTAAAAAGAATTGATCATCTTTAATAGGAAAAAAACCTAAACTGTAAAATTCAGAGGTTTTATTTTGTACCCAGCTACAATTTAGAGTTTGATGTAGAGATTTGAATGGAGAATTCAGTGAGCCAACATGATTAAAAATTTTAACCAGCATTTAATGATACAGTAAAGAAACAGCAAAGTTATGAACACATTAATCACGGGCTAGGCTATCTATGATGTATTTCTATTAATTTTTAATGCATAAGTAAAGATAAAGTTTAGATAAATAAGACAATATATTTAACTTGTCATATTTAAAAGTCCTTAAGCCAAACAGCTGGGCATGGTGGTGTACATCTATATCCCCAGCGACTTGGGAGTCTGAGGAGGGAGGATCATGAGGTCAAGGCCAGCCCGGGTAACAGTGATACCCAAAGCCACTCTGGGTTGGGAAGTGTCTCGGGTCTTCCTGGGATACAGAGCTACTTAACTGCTGCTTTTTGTCTCTGCCGGGTGTGAGAGCCTCCTGTCTGTGGTGTTGAAGATGGCTGTTTGTTCTCATGTGTCAGGCGAGAAGGCTTTGGGATTCGCATCCAATGGGACAAGCAGAGTCGTCCTTCTTTCATAAACAGATGGAACCCCTGGTCCACAAACGTGCCCTATGCCACTTTCATAGAGCACCCAATGGCTGGTGTGGATGAAAAGACGGCTTCTCTGTGCCAGGTGAGCAGGTGGTCAGCAGCCACTGCAGCTGCACATCCAGCAGTGGTGAGAGGTCTGTGTCACCCAGTCTTGTGGCCACATGCAGGGATGAGAGCTTGAAGAATGACTGCTGACCATGAGGAAATGAACTTGTAGCTTTTAAAATTTTTGGTTAGGGCTGGGGCTGGGGCTCAGCAGTGGAGCGCTCACCTAGCACGTGTGCGGCCCTGGGTTCGATCCACATAAAAAATAAATAAATAAAGGTATTGTGTCCAACTGCAACTAAAAAAAATATTTTAAAAATTTTATTCTGGTTAAACTATGCACTTTGGTGCCCACTTGTAATCTTAGTGCTTCTGGAAGCTGAGGCAGGAAGATTGCAAGTTTAATGCCAGCCTGGGCTACTTAGTAGGACTCTGTCTCAAAACAAAACGAAAAGGCCCAAGAATGGAGCTCAGTGGCAGAACACCCTGGGTTCCTTTCCCATTACTGGGGAAAAAATTATTTCATTTGTGTGTGAGGAGCCCGTATGACTGCTGGTCTGTAACATGGCCTCTTGCTGCTGCTGATTCTCTTGGAGAATAGCCTAGCACACGGTAGGGAGTAGCAGCTGACCTGCCATGTTGAAGACACTTAGTCTGGGTGCTCCCTGGGCCTCAGGCCAGGTTTGGAGCAGAGATGGGTTTGGGTGCCTTGCACCTGGGAGCCTGCCTAGGATGAAGTAGGCCTCTGTGGCAAAACACTTGCCACCCTCCAAGTCCTGTCGGGAGGAAAGGCTGATGTCTAAACCAACGAGCACAATGGCAGGTGTCATGCCAATCAGAGAGCCACGCTGAAGGCAGTGGAGGGACTCCCAAGAAGTGGCCGAGAGGTGTCTTGTCAAGTGAGGGCCCTGAGGGGCTCAACAAAGAAAAAGGCACACACCGCAGAGTCACGTTGTGCCACAGCAGCCTGCTCACACAGCAGTGGTGGGCACTGGGGCAGACAGCTGCAAACATGGAATCACTGCCCGCGGGCCAGGACGCGGTGCCGGGCAGCAGTACCCAGGACTGGCTCACGTGCCTGTTTTTCTCTGATCAGCATTTGGAGGGTGCTTCTCCCTATACGAGTGTGCTGTGACGCAGTGTGCCACGCCGGCCACGCCGGCACCCGAGTGACCTGCGTACCGGTTGTATAAGTACTGTGATATTCTCAAAATGGAATCACTTAAAGACGTTTTTAGAACATCTCATTGCCATTAAGTGACACGTGCCTGTGTGTGTGTGTTTTGAGAGAGTTAAATGTCTCCAAATGCAAATTTTTCCATTTAACAGATTACTCTTTTGTTGCTTGAAGCTCCTTGTTTTTTCTCTTTAAAGTTGGAAAGCTTCAAGGCTCTGTTAATCCAAGCTGTCAAAAAAGCCCAAAAAGAAAGTCCTCTGCCAGGACAAGCGAATGGTGTGCTGGTCTTGGAGCGGCCCCTGCTCATCGAGACCTACGTGGGATTGATGTCCTTCATCAACAACGAGGCCAAACTGGGTTATTCCATGACCAGAGGCAAGATTGGCTTCTAGACAGCTCAGCGTGGAGCCATCCCCCAAGGAAAGCCTTGTTGAGGGGAACTCGGGAATGCGGGAGACCTCAAGCCAGCCCGCTGCTACTGGAGGGAGGACCGGGGTGGCCACCTTTGGGGATCTGATGTTATTAGCATGGTCCAGTGAATTCCTTAGTGAGCTACAGAGAGGGGCAGAGACGTAGCTGACCCCGTGCTGCTGCCGTTCGTGTCCCCTCAAGTGACCATTAGCTTCTTGTGGTTTCCTGCCCAGCCCCTGCAGCATGCTTCGAGTCTGTGGGCGCATCTGCGCGCCTCGCTGTGTAGACCTCAGTATGGGGAGGAGCCTGGCATCTCCAGTGCCTGCACTTGCACATGTGTTTACACTCATGTCAAATTTTGTATTTTTGAAATTTTATCCATTTTTTTAAGCAAAATACAAAGCAGCCTACAGACTGGTCACAGCAGTCTGTGCCTTGTCAGAGCCTAGCGGACAGTTGTTTTTTGTAAATATGGTTGACCTACAGTTGTATGTTTTCTAAAATTAATCCAAGTTGTTAATACTTTTTCCCCAGGCCCAAAAAAGTTTACAGAGAATCACTTAACACAATTTGTTGAGGAATTGCACATAATTTTGACAACTATAGGTTTCCTAAGCTTTTGTTATTTTGTTCATGTTTAAAAGGGAAATAGGTAGTTTGAACTTTAAAGGATGCACTTTAAAGCAAGGACGTGTTAGATCCCCAGAGACGCGCTGCCACCCTGCTCCTGCAGCCCGTAGGTTCCAGGTGTCATCAGACTCCCAGCCCACGCCTAGTGGGGCTGCAGCACTCGTGACTTGAGCGCTGGCTCCTCAGTCTCCTCCTCCTCACTTACAGCTCTGTCATGGCTTTACGCTTGCTGGCACGGATGCGACCGGGACACGTGGCCTGTCCAGTGGAAGGCTGTCTCAAAGCACCCAGGTCTTCAGCCTGCTCTTGCAGTCTTGTAGTAAAGATGTTTAGAACCAAATGGATGTTGCTGTTTTTTGAGGTTATTGTCATTAAAATTAGTGCCGAGGCTGCTGTGGGTCCCACAGGAAAGAGCAGCTCCCCAGTGAGTGAGTCTCAAGCCTCAGTTTTGAAGGTCTGTCTGCAGGCTCTGCAGGAGCAGGAGCAGGAGCAGGATCCTGCCTGGCACGTCCTCCATGAAGAGACACAGTGCGGGCAGCCTCTCAGCGCCCCTGGTGCTCCAGCCGCTGCCTCCCAGCTATCATCCCCTTGAGAGGACCCAGGAGAGCCCTGCCCTCAGGTGCTTGTCCCCTCACTCCAGAGTACACCCTACCACAGAGGGCAGGCACACCATGCCCTCCTGAAACCACCAGCGACTGAAAAGAACCCAGAGCAGCCATGGCAGTGGGGTGGGCTCTGCGGCACAGCGTCCTTCACGTCCTGAGATTGACTAGCAACTCGGCCTAACCTGGAAAACCTGCCGTGATGGCACTTCAAGGAAATAAGCATCAATGTTTTATAAATTAGCAAATATTTATTTTAAATAATGAAAATTACAGCTTTATACCACACATATTTACAAAACCCCCTTGCTACAGAAAATCAGAGTCAAGTCACTGCCAGCACATCACAGCCGGAGAGCTCCCAGGGGAACCTCTTCCTTCCCAGATCAGGGACATGGAGTCCCTGCTGAGGGTTCCACCAGGTCCTACGCATGGCTGTCCCGTTGTTCCAAAGCTGTGTGGACCCCCTCTTCAGTGTCCAGGAAACAGAGACAGAAGTGATCCTTACTGAGGAGGGCCAAGGAGTCCCCACTTGAATGCCAGCACAGAGAAAGCACCGGAAAGTCACCTAGAGACAGAAAAGGGTAGCCAAAGGATTAGAGCAGAGAGATGAGGATTCCCGAGGAAGGCAGCCTGTGCCCCACGGGCAAACAGAAGGGACCTGGGTGACCCAGATGGGTGAAGCCAGGTAGAGCTCAAAGCCACCATCCACCCGATGAAGCTTAGGGTGGTGGGTCCCGTCAGGTGCGCACACTGGGCCCAGGCCTTGAAGTTTCCTGAAAGACGTGGAAGAGCTGCCCCGCGCAGCAGAGGGCCTGGCAGCTGCCCCAGAGGCTGCAGCTCCACGCCCACCGGATGCACTCACCCTCCCCAGGCACCTGCACCGACATGCAGCCTGCCGGGGACCACAGGTAGACCTTGCTGCCTCCTGTGCAGATGGCCAGCCGAGGCTGCTGTGGGTCCCACAGGAAAGAGCGCACGGGGGCCAGCTGCTCCAGCACCACGAAGAGCCTGAGCTTCTGGATGTCCCAGACCCAAACGGTGTTGGGGACATTGTCTGGGAAGGAAGAAATGACAGGGCATCTTGTCATCCGTGTTCTGCTGACCCTAGGTAGCCTGGCCCCTCTGCAAGCAAGCCCTGGAGAGGTCAGTGTTCCTGAGCCTGCTTCAGAGGACCAGGGTTCCAGAGCAAAGACCATCCACCAATGTTCTTCTTTGGCTTTGTTGTAAGAGCTGCCATCATTAATTAAAAAAAAAGAAGAAGAAGAAGAACCAGGCCTACAGGGCAGACAGCCTGCCCTATGCCCTATTCTTTCTTTTTGTTTTTTGGGGGGATGGGATACCAGGGATTGAACTTGGGGGCACTCGACCACTGAGTCACATCCCGAGACAGGGTCTCACTAAGTTGCTTAGCACCTCGCCGTTGCTGGCACTGAACTCATCTCCTCCTGTCTCAGCCTCCCCAGCGATTGCTGAGGCTGGCTTTGAACTCAATCCTGTTTCGGCCTTGCCAGCTGCTGGGATTAAGGCGCGTGCCACTGCGCCTGGCTCCTGTTCTTTCTTAAGGAGGAATGAGTGTGCAGAGGCCAAGGTACTGCTGCTGACTCCCTGGCCTGCTGCCTCCGCAAAGAAGAGCTGGACTCCCGAGGGGCCTCTGCAGCAGGACACTGCATCTCGCCAGGCAATCAGAGCCCACGCACGGCCCCTCACTTGCTTTTTCTTTCCCATTATTTCTACCTCTGGAGCGTGGGGCACAGCAGATAGACACCAGCGCATACTGACCATTCCTTGTGGCCAGGAAGTAGCTGTCAGCACTGAAAGCCAGCATCCCCACGCCCATCCTAGGGTTCGCTCTGTCGGTGGCCGGCTTCAGGGTCTGCAGGGAAACTGGCACAGAGGCGATCTCATCTGGAACGTCACAAGGGAGAGATGCTGAGCTCGCCTGAGTCGGCTACAGCACAGAGGCCTGGGGAACTCCCCCAGGGACAGTAGCACCACTGCCTGCCAGGCCTGGATGTCCCAGACCCATACAGTGTTGGGGACATTGTCTGGTAAAGAAGAAATGACAGGGCATCATGTCATCCGGCTTGTTCCAGATCTACCCAGCCTCGCTGCCCTCATTGCTCTCACACCTCAGCAGTTGTTTTCCCACCCGGTCAGCGGTCAGTGTCCTGGTTCAGTCAAGCTCAACCTCACTGTTTCTGTGGCTTTCAGATGCAGAGAGCTTTATAAAACCAGCAGCAGGAGGCTGCAGGACAAGTGGCGGTGAGCTGCTTCTTGGGGCCAGGCTGTCCTCCTACCCTCCACACCTGCAAAGGGCCAGGTGCTATCCCCACATGTCCCTAAGGTCCATGTGTCCTCTGGAGCACAGGCTCCTTGCCCCCAGTGCATGGCCAGGACCAGCACGGCCGAGGGGTCACCACACCCTGCTGTGTCCAGCTAGTCCCGCTCACTGCACCCCTGCAGGCTCTCTGATCCCCCTGGGGCACCTCACTCTTGATGTCAAGTCCTGCCCTCAGTGAGCCACCTGTCAATCTAGACTCCAGCACTTACTCCATCGCTGGCTGGAGGCAGCACAAGAAGGGAAATGGACTTTTAAAAAAATAAAGAGCACCTGAAATGTATTTGGACAAAAAGGAATCTTTTTCATTTTAAAAGAAAAACAAAAACAAGCAGAGTGTCCCATGCAGAGGACAGCAGCCCTCTGCTACTTACATTTGCTCTCCGAGGCCGAGAGGGGGGCCGCCAGTGGTAGGGGTGGCGGGAAGGACAGGCGGCCTAGCCCCAGCGGTGGGCCCTTCTCCACTTCCTTATACACAACCTGAAAGACAACCCGGCCACCAGGTAGGAGGGACAGGGCTGAGACCCGGGAGCTGCTATGGGGATGCCCGAGGGTGCTGGGCAAGCAGCTGTGGCGTAACGGTGCCACCTGTGGAGGGGAGGCTCCCCAGGGCCACCTGAGCCTGCTGGCAAGTGCCCCTTGAGAAGCAAGGAGCCAGTGTGCAGCTGTGTTTAGACAGCACCCGGTCACTCCTGCAGCCAACCGTGCAGGAGTGAGCGGGGCATCCACTTCCCTGGTGACGGCCAAGGAGAGTGGGCACCACCAGATGCTAGCAAGCAGCATGCGGAGGAACCTCCCCGAGGAGGAGGTGTGGCAGGCTTGGGCCTACAGTCTGGATCTTAAAGTCCCCCAAAGGCCCATTTGCTGATGGTCCCCAGCCTGTGGCCACAAGGGGAGGTCGCACCTAGGGGAGGAAGTTAGGTCACTGGGGGCGTGGCCTAAAGGGGACCTGGGACCCAGGCCTTCCCCTCTTGCTCTGCTTCTTGGCCACCACAAGGTAAGCAGCTCTGCTTTGCCTCGCCATAGGCTCAAAGCAAGAGGGCTAGGTGACATGGACCGAACCCTGAGGCCGTGACTTCCCACCTGCAAGCTATTTCTGCAGGCATTCTGTCACAGCAGGGAGAGCTGACCAACACTCGGGGGCCCTGGTGCAGGGTTCACCTGGCTTAGTTTTAAGGCATACATGTGAGAGGCCCTGGAGAGATGCAGCGGCCACGGGACATCTTTGGGCTCTTATGGTCAGCCTTCCCTCCCAGAGCCTCCCTCACCGCTCCCTCCAAGAGGCACCTTGGCCTGAGATCGCCCATTCCTGGCACCTGCAGCTCCTCTCTGCGCCTCCTCCCAGTACTCACCTTGATGTCACCTCCAGGAAGGTCCCTGGCTGGCTGGCCTGGCCCTGTGCCTGCCTGCTACGCCACTCGTATTCTCCTCCTCAGGGCCAGTGCAGCCCTACCAGGGAGGCCAGCATTTTTATCTCATCTTCTACCATCACCCACACAGACCAGAGGCCAGAAGGCAGTGGACACTTGCTGCTGCTGCTGCACAAATGGACACCAAAAGTCCTCTCCATCAGAGGACTTTGTGCTTCCTGCTCCCTGGGGCTGGAAGGTGACCTCCTCAGGCCCTGTGGAGGTGCCCAGCTCTCCCAGCCCACTATGCAGGGGCAGGGGCAGACTCAGGTCCTCTTGGAAAGAGGCCTGAAGTGCAAGTGCAGTGGCTGGAAGAGCCTGTGGGCAGCAGAGCTCGAAATCTAAGCCTGCACTGACAGAACCAGCAGAGCACAGAAAGATGCAGGTGTGGGGACAATAACATCAGCAGGGTCAGAATGCAATTGCGGCTCCTCCCTCTCCCCAAACACTGCTCAGACCCCCAGCT